ACACAAGAGTAGGTGAAATATCCAGATCATCAGGAATGAACGATGAAGTTGTTGGTTGTACAATCGCACACACTGGTTCATAGTTGATTTGCTTATCCAGATAGCCGTTAATCACAACTTCACTGTTGGCAGGTATAGTGATCTTCCTACTCTCTGCTGATCGGATGAGAGCTAGTTTGTCTCTGTTCTTGGCAAGTTCTCTTTCACGCATTACCAAGCATCTCATCGACAGGTACCATGGTGTATGCATGTCTGCTCTCTGTAGAAACTGGTCTCCATACATTTCCTTGGTAGTCTCCATTATGATGCACAGTAGATTAGTCCCAATAAGAATAGGAACCTTTGAATTGTATGCACTCTGTGGAACAACCAGGAACAAACAATCATTCAATAAAGGAAATGATGAAATTCCTAATATCTGTATATCCAGTGAAATGTATCCTGAATATGGAAGTTGTTGTCCATCTGCACACTCTACATTCAATGCAAAGTCTAATGATTGCAATGGAATATCAGGAAAATGTTCCTTGTAAAAAGTTTCACTGATGGTAGATACGGTTGATCCAGTGTCAAGTAGTGCAGTAGTTGCAACGTCAAAAATCTTGACGGACACTTCATTACACTCTCCTATCAATGATGACTTCTTGTTGTAAGTCTGTGAGGATGGTGTATACTGCTGCTGATGAATATATCCTTGATTTGCAGACTTCTGAGTTTGATATGGTTGTCTCCTGTGGTGCATAATCACTCGACATCCAATCGCAATGTGTCCATGTTGTCCACATTTGTAACACACAGATCCATTCTCTGTAGAATATTTCTGACCACCAGTATCATATGGTACATAAGATGTCGATGACACAGTTTCAGTGTTCATTTGTTCATGATCCTGCCTGTTCACTGAAAAATTATCAATATTTGGTTCCGATGAAACCTGCATAGTGATAGAACTCACTTTGTTACTTGTGTCTTTCTTTTTCACAAATTTATGTTTCTTGTGTGAATTCTGTTTCTCATTGGATTCCATAGCATTTCTGTCTTCCTTATGAATATCACTACGAACCAAATGTTCTTGTTCTACTCTCCTTAAAGCTGTTCGAAGTTCATCGAAGCTTTGAATGCTGTCAAACAGATATCCAGTGATATCTTTTAATGGAGAGTTTAGTCCAATCCAAAACATATTGTGCAACATTAAATTCTTTTCACTAGAGTCAATGTCTTTAGTTTGACACACTTTACACATTATGTCCTCTAATCTGCAACTCCATGATGTAATATCTTCATCTGGCTTCTGTCGTGCAGAATAAAAATCAGCAAGTACAGCCTCAGTTCTCTCGATAAATCCATACACACTGTCCAATCTTGCGAGAATGTCTGATAGTGTTGCTTCAACACCTAAGTTCATAACGGTTCTGCTCGCTTCTCCTTTAAGTGAATGTCTAATGGCTTGAAGTATTCTCTCTGTCGGATATCCTTCTTGAATTAAACACTGAACTTCATAGTGCCAAACCTGAAATGAAGCTGCACCTTTTCCTGAAAACAAGGACAATTTAGGAATACCAATAGGCAAAACAGATTGTTCATGATAATCTACCATCCAATCAATAAAACTCTGAGGTGAATCGACATTCGGTTTAACATCTAATTCTCTAAAAGCTGTGACAATATTGTCAATCTCTTTCGCTGAAAACTCCATGATTTTACTGCATGAAAAATCAGTATCACCTGATAGATGGAAACTCAGAGCGTCTACGGTGACATACAAAGTACACAAAATAATTCTGAAAATCTGTGTGAAATACATAAGTGAATAATTTCAGACTCAATCATTTTTCACAACACAATGTACATGATAGGAACACAAGCATACGACATAAAAACTATAAAACATTTGCATTGTCAATGTAAACAAACCCCTTCCTGTAAACAAAGAGTATTTCCGGTATGTAAAGATGCACTTCCGGTTTGCAGAAAATATAAACAAATATGTGCAAATTTCAAAGACAAAATATACTTTCAAAATGCTTGTCAAAGTATATCAAGTATTTAATTCCTGAAATGAAAATAAATCTGCAATAAAAAAAAATACTGAAAGAGAATTTCAATTACATGTTGAACGCGCTAACTCTTAGATAAGAATTGCTTCAAATGATAAACTTTTCAAAAAAATAACACAAACACGTGAAGTTGACGAAGTCTAAATTGTCAACAAGATTTGGTAATTGTACGGACTAAAATTTATTTACACAGTACCAGACGAACAAGCGTGACTACAGTATATGGAGATCAAACTTTACATGATAATTTAAATCAATTTCTTAACCCACTTACTACAGGAAAGGAATAAATATTCCTCTAATTTCTGAAGTTCTTCACAAACCCATGAAAACAAACCGACTTCCGGTTAAATTCTTGAAACGGATCCCGAACCCGATCTCAACACGAAGATGGCGCGGATCTCGGTACTTACTTATTTAATACTACAGTAAATTTAAATACCTATACAATATAATGGGATGTATTAGGGATGATTTTGACGGACAAACACTGATCAGATTCGGGTAACTACATCTATACACAAAATAACTGCAGGACTAGCAAACCATTATGAAAAACAACTAACCAATCAAACTCACTGAATAAACTTGTAACACAAACTATATACACCAGTCAAATGTTACTGTCAATAAAGGTCAGTAAACTGTTTGGTCACATATTAGTGCAAAGAAATAAAGCTAGAAAGAGAACTGGGGAATCTGAATGCTGTGCTCAGGACTTTCTCACATGACTTTCACAAAATTTACCTAACTTTTGATTTATTTAATTCAAATGAAAATTATTTATCTGAGAAAAAAAAAACTAAAATAAAATAAAATATTTACAAAAATCACAAAAAATAGTTAGATGTTTTCAATCAAAAATTAAAAATAAATAGATAAATAAACTGTGGCCAAAATACAGAGATAACCAGTACTGGATTTGATTTAACCAGAAACTTGCATAAAACAAGAAAAATTTACCTTTTACATTTTAGAAATCAATCAAGATCTAAATGAAAAATATTCACTGCTTTTACAAATTAAATAACAGCATTCACATAATTACAAGATCTATGCAAATAATTCAAAAACAACAATATGGCATGCCTGTAAAAATTAAATATGTACCCAGAAAACAGTTTCTATCTGTACGTACACAATACCTCTACTGGCCAGGTTCGAGTTCACAGAACGGTGTGCACACAAGTTCGAATTCACATCTTAGGGAAAGTCACTCTCCAGCGAATCACTCACGGTGTGTTTACCATGCAGTCGTCCTGGTTCCGGTTGAAGGCATCCAGCCCCACGTTGGGCGCCAATGTTGCAGGGGTGGTTTATATGTAGGATGTAATAACAACCCAACTCCTGTCTAAGGGTTCATATATGTTTAATATAGATGTTCATCAAGTAAATGAATGAATGGCCCTATAAAATAAAACAATAACAATGAATATCACATGAAATAATAACAAATGTATACATATATTCTATTTTACCTATTTTGATATACAAAAGATAAATTTAACAGTTAAGAGTTATCTCTCTTAATTTAAATATTTAGCATATAAATGAATCACTGTACAGTTAATCTTTACACACATATTTTACAATCACATTTCAATTAATGCAATGATATAATATTATTACTTTAAAATATATACAAAAGGTAACATATGCTAATTACCTATCTATGGGACAAGGCCCATTCCTTAAAACACCAAAAACTACTGGATGCTTCAGCTTACATATCTAATAAGAAATACTTTAAACTGTACTATATATAATACAATACTCATGATTCTAATAAATATATTCTCTGAGATGATAAACTGAAGATTAAGCTTTAATTCATTATTTATAACTTTCACTCTTCTTTTAAACAGTGATATTAGCTAAATAAAGGTATTATAAAGATAAATAATGTTAATAAAGTAAATACTTACTTCCAGGTCTGTTTTAAAGGTCTCAAGTCATGAAAGTCTTTAAAATTCTTTGTCTAAACAACTTTGTAAATCTACACAGCCAACCTGACCAAAACCTCTGAGTAGTCTAACTAAAGCAACTGAAAACAACTCAGAACCACAACCAATAAAAAGACAGAACCCCAAGAGAATGACCTTGAACTTTATCGCTCACAAGTATTTGTAAAGGGGTGGATCTAAGTTTTATATTAAACTCAATTTCATTTACCTGGTATATCAATAATACACCTATTTATTCCATATTGTATATTTCATAATATATACAATTAAAAACACACTGCTACATCCATGTTCCTCATCTTCTCCGTTAACTTCTCATAGTCTTCAGAACCCGACATTCCATGCCGATGAACTGCTTTTTTTTTCTCTGAAATGCTAGAACTTATCTCTAACAACAACCTGTCATAATTTTCTTCTTAATGAAGTCCAAAACGTGTGCCTTTACAAGTCCCAATACATATATATCATTTGCATCTACCAAAAAAATACCAGCCCAATAGACGCAATATATAGAGTATAATAGATTAGAGGCAAACTGCTCGCCCCATTTTGAATGTTCTTAATATTTGATCCGCCACTCCAGTGTCTGTGTTTATGGCCCGTTTTTTTTTTCGTGGTATTATAATATTTAAATAAGATCGATCACTGTTCATAATCTCCATCCTTCTTCATATTGTCCTCCTGAAATATTTCCTATTTATCATAAAAAGGCATTAATTTTATGACCAATTTTAATGCATTTTTTTAATTGATCAAAAGAAAATATACATATCTCAGATGGAGAATAACCGATCTCTTTGAATTTTTAAAGTATAAATCATAATCTAAAAAAAACTTATCTTATCTTATCTTATCTTAATCCTTTGTCCATGGAGGCCTAACATAAAATAAATAAATTATACAATATAATATAATAATTATAAAAAGTTTAATAAATACTTCGAATAAATTTATATCATCCGGGATTTAAAACGTCTCCCGTTTCAACTTTGGATTATAGACCTATTCGGGGTAACAAAAAAGGAGGTCGCTGGCCTGGTTTTTCACGTGTTTACAAAGTGACAACCGATAAAGGGCCACAGTGAATGAGGTGACGATAAAAAGATGTCAGGAGACGAAAAGACCAGGAGAACTAACTTCATCACGGTAGGTTTTAGTTCCTATCAATCCCTCATAGCAACGCTAGTGTCAACAGCTTAGCTCGAATTTACTCCAGTTATTTTATCACGTGGGTCGGTGGCAGTGCCCCATTTGATTAAAAAAAAAGTACTTTAGTTCAGATATGAAAATGAAGGTGACTTTTTCATTTCTCTGGTCAGCCAACAGCCGAAATTTTAAATATTTTCAATAAGGTTTTTAACTTGGTAAAGAAATTAGATTAAGAAATAGCTTTTAACAGTGTTTATTTTTACAATTTCTACAGGTTAGGAACACATCCCCTTCAGCGAGATAATATCGCTGAATCGCGGTTATCCCTCTGTAGCGGGAGAAAATACATCTCGGAAAACCGAGATTTGTACCCTGATTCAAACTGTAATCGTGTTAACTTCTAAAAAAGGAAAATCCGGGAGTATGTTAACCCATTTGATAAATATTTACTGTCTCGTCTCAATAAATTTGCTTCAAAATATTGCCTTTACAGCTGCAACTCATGGAAATTAGAATAAGTTTATAAACAAAAGCGTGGACTTCCTACGGAGGACCACAGGTGATAATTATCAGTACAACTAACTTCGGTTATACGGTTATTGAAATTGCATGTTTACCTTATTTTTTTTAATACGCCTGCTTGAAAAGCGGAAGTATATACAGCATGATATAGTGATGGGGTGTCCGTCACTCTAGACTTTTTATAGGGCATGACGATCTCGACAAGAAGTCTGTTTGGTGACCCATAAATTCCAAATTGCCTGATTGACTGATATAAAGTCCCACCTTCTTGCTGTAAGAAGCGCACTCATTGGTTTTTTGCTTCACTCGTCAGAGTTTCAAGGATCTTATATTATTAAATTTTTCTGTATTTTACCCGTGAAAATAATAAGTTCAGTGTCACTTTTAAATTCTCGTCCTACGTAAATTAATCAACCCTAAAAATATTTTATCCTTTACTATTGCACTGATTCAAACTTTGCAAGTTAAATTGGAAACATGATATTTCAGACGACTAGAGATGGTAAAAGTAGATGGACCGGAGTGGGGGGGGGGGTACTAGAAACAAAAACAGTAGGTAGGTTGTGCGACTTAATTTCTTTAAATTTCTTTAAATGTGTCATATACATGTTCCATGACTCTTATCATGCATGATAAAAGCTATCGACATAAGCATTTTTAAAATCTTTACAATTTTAATTGAAAGTCTTATCGGTGATCAATTAAGACTGGATCTTCTAATATGGAAGCTATTAAAGGTGACAATAGTCTCTTTCTTACTCAATAAAACATTTACAAAGTATAATAAAATGTAAAATTCGAAGTATTCCATGCAAAGCTCGTAGATATTCTTTCAAAATAAAGAATGTCTTTACCAGTATTCATCTGCCGCCAAAATACGGCTGAAATTTTGCCGACTCCGCAGCACTGTTAAGGCTTACTATGAGAAATCAACGGAAAATGAAAGTGTAAAACAGGGGAATTTTTTTTAAAATTGAATTTATTTTTATTCAGCAATTCTATTATCACAGAACTTAAATACTTATGGAAATAGCATAGGATAACATACTCTGTACTGTGTAAAGATTGGTCCCATCGATGGACAGTCACGTTATGAACGCATAGCAGGTACACGGAATGTAGGTCAATAACAAATTTCAATATCGCAAGGGCATAACCTAATTGAAATTAAAAATTTAAGATATTAATTGTATCTATGTACTTTGTAGTTTCTGAAAAGTGCTGCTGCTTTGAATAGAATTCGCGTTTTAATACTTAAATGTTTAAGTAAATAGCCCAATGTCGAATTATATTAAAATTTTACCAAATATTTTGTGTACTTATAAAATCACGGCCTCGATTTAAAAAAAGCGGCAGTTCTTTTCAAGTTAAGGAATACATCCTTTATCTATATTCAAAAAATGTTTCAGATCTATGAAGTGTATGCCCTTGTGAAAATGCGATTTTATGAGGCACCTCGATATAAAATATACGTACTAACCTATACATAAAACACGACATTATTAATAAAATACATTCTCTTTGTAGTTAATTAACAATCGCACTAAACAAAGGCCATACCTTGGTATTAATCGACTATGTAAAATCTGTAAATAATATTCCGTTTAATAATTAAACACTTTTTTCATTGAAAAACAATGTCTCAATTTGCCTTTCACAGCACACGAAGTACGTCATTTTTATCAGTATGACGTCATGTTTACATGTTCATCGCAATGAGTGCTTAGTTTTTTAGCAGCTACAAGGGATTTAACTAGAAACTTTTTTAATGCATTGATAAGTTATAATGTTGTTTATTATGCTAATACTGTTCAGCATTGCTAATTATTTCATTTACACGCATTATGAGAACTATATAAATGTCATATTTTTGTGTGACGTCATAGTATACTTTTCCCGTATAAATTAGGCCACGCCCCCTTATTCAAGCCTTAACAATGCTGCGTCGGTATTTAATAATAACAATCAACACTTTTAGTATTTTTTTTATTTATTTGATTGGGGGGGGGGGGCATATGTTTCAGAACCCCCGCGCCCCCCCCCCCCCCCCTTTTTTTAAATATGAAAATGCCACCTGGTCTGTGTGCTTTCATGTAGCTTATGTTTTGGAAAGTATCTAGAACTGTTCATTGCCATTGGTTAAAGCATTAAGAATTTATGTCATTTAAATACGAATACCTAGGGAACTTCTTTAAAGTATAATTAACAACACGTGAGTAGCAGCAATTTCAAAATGCAATTTCGCATTTCTGTTTCTTTAATTACATATAGTTATAAAATTTAATTCAAGGTAGCATGTTTACACTTGCAACAGGCACGTTTCTTTGTTAATGAAAAGATGGGTAACTGGTAACCGAAAAAAGTTCAAAGCTACCCCCCCCCCCCCCCCCCCTCTTCTACCTGCACGAAATAGAGTTTTCAGGTTTGGACAATGGTCAAATTCTCCTCTTTTTTTGCATGTCAATTTTTTTAGGTTGAATTTTTTCTTTGAATTACCCCCCCCCCCCTTTCCAATTTGCTTCCGACGCCGTTAAATCATGCTTTCCTGAATTTACAAGTTTACCATGCATCAACATTTGTACGAAGTCAATATCGGTTAGACTCAATATAAACTTTATGTTCATTTTATTTCTTTTCAATAGTCCGTTAAATTAATGCTTTATCCATTTTCTATACACATTTAGATTATATCATGACTTTTCCACAAACGTTACAACACTGTTGCGCTTCCGTACTTCTTTGTGTCAACCAAAGATCAAATATTTAAGCAAATATCATCGGTCTCTAAAGAGCTTTATTTTTAACTTTTGTACAAGAACGGAAAGCTTAGACCCTATCGAATATAATGTGGATACATATATACATATTTTATATGCTTCAAAAACAAATATGACCGTAAATCTTGAAACCTTCGCTAAAAAGGCACGATTTACACGTGGATTTCAGCATCTTATTCTCACACGCAGCAGTGATTGTCTTTAATTTCTGGACAATATTGTCAGTTTTTTGTAGTTAATTCACGCTTGAATGCAGCTTTCTCCTGGATTTTCAATACGCACGAGATTTTTGATTATTTCATAACGAAAACAACAAAATTCCCGTTTATGGTAATGTTTTTTCTCCCGCTACAGATCTCGCTAAAGGGGATGTGTTCCCAACCTGTTCTATGAAGGAATAGCCTACTATAGTCCTTGTTTTCAAGTGAGAGTCGATCTCCAGACTCGCTAGAGGTATAATGAACCTTGAAAATAAAGTAACTTAGCAGAAAAACACCCTTTTGTGTGTGTTTTGGGGGGTGGGGGGGTCTTTTGTCATAAACAATAAGCTACTTTATACACACATGTATTTTCATCATGTGCATATCCGTTTCTTCTTTTCAATTTTCATTTTTTGAAATTAGGTGGGAGGAAGCAGGGTTTAGCTGTCTGTATAGCTCTGGTAGACACATAGTGTTAAAAAGTCTGTCTAAATCACTAAAAACATAAGAACTAGGGGTACTTTGAGCTCACTAAATGATACCCCCTACCTCCCATAATGTCCATGTATTGCTATATATTGTTTTACAGTAATGTGTAAAGAGAAATATTTACATTCGCTGTGCTTTTCTAGTAATCTTACTGTGAAATTGATTTGAAAATCATTTTCGTGTATACTCACGCGTAGAAATATACACGGAGAAACGTGCGTTAACGTGACGTCACAATGAGGCTGCAGCGACGTTAGTAAAAATGCAACGATATAGGGCAGCGAGAAATTCAAATATTGAGCATATTTTAGTTGCTTCCAAACATTTAAAATGTAAATATAAGGAATGTTTTTCAGTTTAGTGTGAATTAATGGTGTACGTGTGAATCACACAGACTTGCACATAGGCATATTTTTCTAGCTAGCGCGCTTCATGAAATATGCCTACGTGACAAGTCTGTGTGATTCACACACCAATAACTCACACAAAACTGTAAAACATTCCTTAAATGACTCGTCCTGTCAAATGTTATCCAGAAGCTTCTATATGTGACGTCATAGGTAAAACATATAATGTAGTGGCAATGTCCATGTTTTGCTATGGGAAATCCAAAATATGTAATAAAGATTCTGCAAAAGTATCATTAAATTTCACTCAGTAGTATAAGAGGAGATGCGGATAAGAGATAAAGCGTAACAGGCAGACAGACCGTGATAATTGGCTGTTCGGGTGATGTGTCTGTCAGTAGTCTTAGGCCGACCTGTCAGAACCACAGTGTCGTTTGGGCTTACATAAGCTGAAAAAAATTGCAGCTGTCGACCTATAATTTTTAGGCTGGGTAGGTAGGTAGGCATTCTTGTTTTTTTTTTTTGGAAAAAAATTTTTTTTAGATTTTTGTTACATGTGTTAGATAGCATAAATTAAAAATTTTTCATAGGAACATTATACATGAATAAGCTTCACTCTTGGTATAACCTACTGATTGATAAATATACTTAAGGAATGAAGCTAATTTCAACTTATGTTATACGATATAACATAACTTGGGGCAGTTTACGCTTTATAAACCACGAAATTAGCTTCATTCCTTATAATTTAATTTCAGTATAGACAATAAGACAATTTTTCCTCCAGAATAAGGCTTCAAATTGAGCATTATTTTAAAAGTAACGTCAAGCGGAGTAATACGTTCTTGACGTACATGTAACTGATTGTGATGTAGGCAAGTTATGTTATCCAAAATATTATATGTTCCTCTGAATGATTCAGCCAATGAAATAGCTTGATACAAGTGAAATTAAATTATTGATTGATAAAGACACAAATTGACAATGAAACACTTTCAATATCCTGAAAACAACTGCAAACAAATAATACTTTATTTTAGACCTTGACTTAAATGTTAATGATGACGTACAGCCAAGGAGTTTGAAATTTTATGATCCAAACTCTGCTGGTTCCACCTTTCTTTGCATGAATCATGACATCACTTCCAAAAGATTTTGTTCATTGATTGACCATGCATCAAAAGTCCAAAACTGTAATTAGATATAATGAATTCTGAGTTGTAATTTCTTTAGAGAAGGACAAGTGCACTTAAGCAATACTTAATGGGCCCTTTTGATGTGACAATTTACTTCAAAATATATTACCAAATGGTTCTCTATTGGTAATAGTTAGATACTATTGGATATTTCTAATTAAAAAAAATATTAAGTGCCACTTAAATCAGCATGGATGTGAAACAATTGAATATTTTGAAAGGCCTATGGATACTCTATAAATCCGGAAAAGTCGTACCGAACCTTCTTTTAGTTTCGTTTATGTAAATCAAGGAATAGATATTTAAATCGATACTTGAACAATCTGATGGTGGATCATAGTCGGGCGCGTTTGCGAAATGATATTTCTTGTGCCAAACCTGTTTTTAAAAATATGGAATGAAGTTGTGTTGTTGCCTGTATCTAAATGATTAAACTAAGAAATTGGTACTCTTGCATTTGAAAAATAACATTAATAGTTTCATTGAATTTGAAAAAGAGTGTTATAGGTGGCTTTCAATACCTGTTTCATTGTCTTGCATGAAAGTTAAAAATGTCCTTACCCTCCCGTGTTCTTAAAAACAAATTCATATACATAAACATCTCTAAGCGACAGGGCTTTGAATTACTGAAACAAAACCTGCCTATGTTTTACAGTGAGCACCTTTGAGGAATGTTTACCTGGGCAGAACTCACGTGACTATCAGTAATTCTAAATAATTTATTCCACACGTGGGTTCAACATGGGTCATACAGGTAAATAGCTCTCACTTGGTATAGGAAAAACAGTGTACTTTTTATAAATTTTTAATATTTTAAGTACGAGCCTAATCGTGTGCAAATTTCATACTTTCAGACAAGTTTTATAAATGTAATATGCGTCTTTTGTCATTCGCACAAGTCTGCACAACGTTAGGCTCATAGTTAACAAAGACTTTGAAATGAATGACCGTTCTCGATTTACTATAGAAAATCGCCAATGTCGGCTGACCCCTTCCACATTGTATAATTATGTTCTTTGTATATTCGTGGATTTCAGCGGTAAAATTTGTTGAATCGTATGGTTTAGATATCAATTAATAATTTGAAATGAAAATTTTTGCTTAATTTGATTATCTATTTTTTCACATTTTATCGGGGCCCATAAGTGCACTCGTTCTTTATACTGACAACCCTTTTTTGGATGACTTCAGGTAGTATATGCCGTGACTTATGTGTTTGCTCTTATTTTTCAATCAGAAAAAGATATACATGATAGATTTATATATGTTAATGATACTGTAAACTCATTAATTTTCTTTGCTGTGTATTGACTGTATTCTTCATGTTCTTTTAGTGGAGAGAAATTTCCACTTCATCTAATGCAATGCTAAATTCTTGTATGTGTATTCATTAATATGAACGTTTAAAATGCACTAAATCAAATCTAATTATGCTTACTTGTTCAAAAATCAATTACCGCCAAATATCATACACAATAAATATAAAACATGATTGAGTTGGACATTAAAATGTTTACCATTATAAAGTGATACACACTTTTAACCTTTGACCTTTTTCAGTTGCCAGATGACACCCCTGGATACAGCCTGGATGAGTTCTGTATCCCTAAACATTACGAAGATGATCTATCCCGGGTCTTAATCCCCGCAGGTCTGATTAATGACAGGTCAGTATAACATTAGGACGAGTCTGATTAATGTTAGGTCAGTATTAAAAGGACGATTTATCCCAGGGTCCTTATTCCTGTGGGTCTAATTAATGACAGGTCACAGGGATTTATCAGTGCCGTCTCAGAGGCCAAAATTCGGCCCCATTCCCAATTGTAAATGAGTTCAATTTTTCCCAATTTGGCAGTATTTTTTCCCATTTGCAGAACATTGCTTTTTTTAATTATCCTTGGAAAAACACAAAGTAAATTAGTCAGATTGTCTGTAATTTACCTCAGTTTAACTCATTTAGCAAAGCTATAGTTGTAACATGTGTATAAAAACATTGCCAACTTTTATTCCGAATTTCCTCAGATTTTTTCTGAAGTAGTAATATTGTGTATTTCTATAGGTTTATTTACTCATTTTGACTTGCTCAATTGATTTACGAGTGAATGATAAGAACTGCAGGCATTATTTCAGATAGAAAAATATATTTTCAATGCATATTTTAGAAAATGTGGTTTCTTATATTTCCCCAGGGACTTAATTATTAGGAGGTCCCTGATCTCCCATGATCTAAATTGGAATTTCATGGCGCAATTAAATATACTACCTTAAGTTGTATAAAATTAATACTCATTGAATTCAAATTTACATAGCACATTTATTAGTCTGTTTTTCATACTTGATCTTGTATTATGATTAATGAAGTTGGATCATATTTAATTGTCTGTTAATTGGTAGCCCACTTTACAGCAGTAAATAAATTGAACCTCAATAGTGAATACATGGTTTAAGCAACATATATATTTTTTCCCAATTTCATCAAAAAGCCGATAACTTTTTCCCAATTTCCAAAAAATGGCGTTTCCCAAAATAGGCTGATAAATCCCTGGGTCAGTATAACATTAGGTTGAGTTCTGTAAACCTAAACATTAGAAGGAAGATTTATCCAGGGTCCTAATTAACACGGGTCTGTTAAATGACAGGTCAGTTTAACAAGGAACATTTATCCTTGGTCCCAATTTCAGCAGGTCTTATCATAGTCCTTTAATGATAGGTCAATATTACGAGAAGGATTTATCCTGGGTCTTAATTCCCATAGGTCTAATTAATGATAGGTCAATATTACGAGAAGGATTTATCCTGGGTCTTAATTCCCATAGGTCTAATTACGCAGTACAGTTAACGCAACACATGAAAAAAATATGGTAATGAAGTCATAATGAGGTCTGACGTCATGACAGTTGCTCCGCCCTGATTGATCCATATAAGGAAATGGTGCTCAAAATAACAATTTACCGATATTTGCAAGAATTTGTAATAAACAGCAATATCTTCATGTTGAAATAGAAAATACTTAGTGATTTTCCCGTATATATAATATCATGTCATTAAAATAATTCTCTTTTTAATGTGTCGTTTGTCTGCATTCGGCTTCAGCCAAGCGCTTGCACTCGGTGACACGGAATGTTGTTTACATCTAAAAACGTGGCGACATCAGCTGAGATTTGCAGTGGATTTAAATGCAATAACCACACAATCTTAAAAGAAAATAGGGATAAAATAAGAGACACGGCATTGCTTCTTCCTTTTACGAGAATATGGTGACATTATTTCGGAAAATAGCAGAAAACTGAGACGATATGCACCAGCTCCGTAGATCGATCACTGCACTGAAATTCCAGGCCAGGTATGTACAGATGTATACGCATATATAGTTACATGTGTAGATCTACAATATGTAGACAATATGTAACCGGAGTTTGCTCATGTTCATTTCACATCATATCACAGTCAGTGAAAAACTGTAATGCAGTGCCTTAATTGTGTGCAACCCCCCCCCCCCTCTCTACTAAGTTGCACACTTTTTAGAATTATTAAAAATTAAGTGTACTAAATATGCACTGAGTTCCTGTCAATTAGCTCATTTTCTTTGAAACCATATGTTTAATAATGGAGGTCATCAGTAACAAAAATTTAATGTAAATTATTAAATGATAATGGATGTTTTCATTGTTTCAGTCAATGATTCACTAGTGCCTAGGCCTATACAAGCTATAATGTCTTTTGACATACAAATATACACAATTTAAAAAAAATATCAGTATCATTGTGTTGAAAACATTGAAGTCCCACTTCAGATCTATGGTTGTAATTATCTAGAATTTCTAAAGTAATGAAAAAATATTCATTTCTGTTGTTTAGATTACATGTACAGTACCTGGCCATAAGTGTGTCATAATTTTATTTTTACACTATATATTTCATTGAAAAACCAATTTTTGTAAAAACTTGTTGTGAAGTCAATTTTGTCTCAATTTTCATGATTTTTTCACTGAAACATGCAGAATAATTCAAATTTTCTTATCTTAAATGATAAAAAAAATGATACTTAAACTATTAAGAATAAATTATGAAATATTGTCAAGACAAAATTTTCTAACCTCAAATTACTATGATTTCTTAACAAATTGAGGTCTAAAAATTTTTGTTTTGCACTTGACCTGTGATTTCATGGTAATGCATAAAGATAAAACTATTTTGAAATAATGTGAAGAAACTACAACAAATTCTGCATTTTATGGTGTTTTAGACATTAAAAAGAAACAACAAATGACACTGCAATAATATTTTAGAAAAATGTGTTTTTCAATGAAATATATAGTGGAAAAAAAAATTATGACACACTTATGTTAAAATGTTTATATAATATTTTTATCATTGTAGCTGTCAAGAGTATCAGGCTTGAAGAATAAATAAATGAAAAATGCATCATTTCTCCACAGGGTATGTGTACTGCTAAAGCAATTCACATTTTTAAAGTTTGTATGTACTTTAAATTTTTTCACTTTGGTAAAGGAGAAACTCATTATTATTTTTTTTAAATAGAAAATATTCTATCATTAACTATTGTAAATGTCAGAAGTTTCACTTTCCCTGAAAAGTTTTGTAACACTTTTTTTTTCCATTTATATGAATTACATAAATTCACTAAAGAATACAATGTAGCATATTTTTTTGTTGTAAAATGTAATGCCATTTTATTCTACAATGTATATTTAGTAATTTCATAGCAAATAACTGCATATTATATTGTGTTGTCGGCATAGCTTTACCCATGGACAAATGGATTCACTCCTGAAGGCAGGAAGTTAATTTAAGGAAAATGGTATGCTCAATATTAGCTGTAAATGATACAAAGTTTTGATAATAAAACTAACAGAAGAATTGAAAACATGTATATACATTCTATGTTAAATGTTCCAATGCATTTTTCAATTTCATTTTTTATAGCACAATTTTTTTTCAATAATGGTATTTCCTATTCTCATATTTTCAGAATTCATTTTATCCACAAGAACATGAAGTGATGGAAATAATTTGCACCTGGCCAGCATTCCTAGACCTACAGTCTATCATTGGATTTGAAAAGAAATGTTTATTAATAAATTTTCTAGATAAATAAAATAATTTGACTTTTTAATTTATTTACTGTTCATGTGTTGAAAGGGCCAATGAGATTTGAAAATCTTAGCTTGCATACTATTTTGTGTGAAGGGTTTTGTGTGTCCATAAAGATTTTATTTCCAGCATGTGCATTGTGTTCATTTTTTTTTTATATAAAATAAAAAAAAAACAGAAGACTATATATCCCCCTAATTGATTAAAAATAGGATAGGGGACCACCATTTGATTCTGAGGGAAAGGGGGTGGGGGTCCAAATCAAATTTTTTTTATTTTCATGTCAATGAAGGACAGATTGATATTTATTTCCGATTAATGAAATGAAGGACAGATTGTTTATTTATTTTCCCCTTCATTGAAAGTCTAACATGAAAAAAAAAATGTTAAAAACTCGGAGATCACTGATCTGCAAGTATTTATTTCCCAAATCCACTAGCCTCCCACCCCCTCGGAATAAATTGGCTGTCTACTTAACAAATACAGGAGTATAACCCAATCTTTTCTAATAAGTTCCTAAAACTTAAAACCTAGTTAATATCCCCTAATTAACAGTAAGCGCTCTGATTGAAAGCGATCGGGGATCATATGCAGAAAGAAAAAAAAATATTAATACAAGTTTGTGTACGATAGGCGTCGGAAGCAAATGAATGGGGGCTAATTGAAAAGGGGAGGGGGCTTACCCAAAAGAAAAAGGTAAATTCCAATGTCTACATTACGTATATAATTTGCAAATAAGTATGGTGGCTAATCCCTAACCCCACCCCCCACCCCACCCCCACCCCAACCCCAACCCGGTTCCGACGCCTATGCGCACAGTAGTGTGAGAGGGGAATAGATATATAATTAATTAATAATGAAGGCTATAATTTGATTAACCATTTGTGTTCTACATAAATATATCTGCAATATTTAGACCTGTTTGTATGTAATACTACATGTATATACACATCTTTGAGGAAATGCGGGAGGTTTGAAAGACATTAAATGTATACAATATATGGAGAACGAATACAAAGAAAAGAAAGAAATGTCAACTATTTTTATGCATACCGTTTGATTAAGTAAAAAAAGAGTCCAGCTCTGTCCGCATGTATATTTATTTAAAATTAACGAGGTAAACAAACTATATCAAGTACTCAAGAGTTATCTCCCATGCTGGGTCAATGATGCGTTTGAAAACTAAAATTAGATTGACTCTTCCAAGATTTCAATTTTTAATCAAAAAGTGCAAGGGCAAGGCGATTATCTAAAAAGTAGGTTTTTATTTTAAATTATTCATTTTATTGTAAAGTTTTCAAAAAGTGATGCTCATTTCTTTGTAATCCTTTAGTTAATTTATAATTTGCGATGAAATTAGGAAAATATCCTATTTTTCATACATTACTGTCTGTTTTAGCTGAATAACTTAATTATATTGAAAAACTAACTGAATGAGCATCTCTTTTGAGAAAGTATAGATACACAGTGACAACATAAAACATTTTGCAATTAATTTTTTGTTTGCCTTGCCCTTGCACTTTTTGGTTAAATTTGACATCTCATTTCTTGACCTAAAATCGGAGCCCACGTGACTTCAGGGGGTCACATGATGTCAAAAAATAACGATGTGAAAAGCGATGGACATACTCTTCAAGATAATAAATAGCTATTTTAACTAGAATGTCTTTCTAAAAAATAAAACTGTTACATATTATATGTATCGGATTCTGTGAGTTTTTATAGAAAATGTTGCCTTAACTGTACTGCGTAATGATAGGTCAATATTATGAGGAGGATTTATCCTGGGTCTTAATTCCAGTGGGTCTTATTAATTGTAGGTCTGTATTACAAGGATGATTAATCCCTTTTCCCTTATTCCCGCAGGTTGATTAATGATAGGTCAGTATAACATTAGGATGATTTAGCCCGGTTCCTTATATTAGCTGGTCTAATTTATGATGGATCAATATTACAGCGAGAATTTATCCCAAGTCCTAATTCCCATTCATCTAATTAATGACCGGTCAGTATAGCATTAGGATGAGTTCTGTATACCTAAACATTTTAGGAGGATTTATCCCAGGTCGTAATTCATGTGGGTCTTATTCCAGAGGATCTGATTAATGATAGATCAGGATAACTGGAGTGATTTATTCCGGGTCTTAATTCCAGTGGGTCTAATTTATGATAAGTCAGTATAACAAGGACAATTTATCCCGGGTCCTTATTCCTCATTTGTTTGTTTAAAATAACTATCCCTCTCAAGATTTTTTTAGCTCACCTGAACCGAAGGCTCAAGTGAGCTATTCTGATCACATTTTGTCCGGCGTCCGTCTGTCTGTCTGTCCATCTGTCTGTCCGTCTGTCTGTAAACTTTTCACATTTTCGACTTCTTTTCAAGACCCGCTGGGCCATTTTCAACCAAACATGCCACAAAGTATCCTTGGTTGAAGGGGATTCAAGTTTGTTCAAATGAAGGGCCACGCCCTTATTCAAGGGGAGATAATTGGGAATTAATGAAAATTTAGTGGTATATTTTAAAAATCTTCTTCTCAAGAACCACTGTGCCAGGAAAGATGAAACTTATGGGAAAACATGCTCAGGTAGTGTAGATTCAAGTTTGTTCAAATCATGACCCCCGGGGGTTGGGCGGGGCCAAAATGGCCGACCAAAGTTTTACATAGAAATATATTGGAAAATTCTTTAAAAATCTTCTTCTCAAGAATGACTTAGCCATAATTCATCATATTTATATGGAAGTATGCTCAGGTAGTGTAGATTCAAGTTTGTTCAAATCATGACCCCCGGGGGTAGGGCGGGGCCAAAATGGACGACCAAAGTTTTACATAGAAATATATAGGAAAATTCTTTAAAAATCTTCTTCTCAAGAATGACCAAGCCATAATTCATCATATTTATATGGAATCATGCTCAGGTAGTGTAGATTCAAGTTTGTTCAAATCATGACCCCAGGGGGTAGGTCGGGGCTCATGACCCCCGGGGGTAGGGCGGGGCCAATATGGCCGACCAAGGTTTTATATGGAGATATATAGGAAAATTGTTTAAAAATCTTTTTCTCAAGAATGACAAAGCAATTATTCATCATATTTTTATGGAAGCATGTTCAGGTAGTGTAGATTCAATTTTGTTCAAATCATGACCCCGGGGATAGGGCGGGGCCAAATGGCCGACCAAGGTTTTAAATAGAAATTTATTTGAAAATTCTTTAAAAATCTTCTTCTCAATCATTTTCTTAAAAATAGCAAATCCATGATTGGTCATTTGACTACTTTTGGATTTAAAATTTACAAAAAAAAGCCATTTCATACTAGTCCTACCCTTGGTGCTCAGGTGAGCGATGTGGCCCATGGGCCTCTTGTCATTTATATGGAGCCACTTCTTGCTGGTGGAGATTGAGCTGCAAATTTTTGTCCTATGCTCGCAGCAGAATTTACAGTAATTTAGTCATAAGGGATCTCAGTACCTACTACAACACAGGACTTTGGTTTATACTGTCTTATCGAAAGGATCAATCTCCTCGTCCCAGGTTGGTACACAAAGTAAGGAACAACCCCTTGCATTGTGACTCCAGAGCAAACACTCAAACCATGTGGGCGACCTGGTTCTTACTTCCAGCAGGTCTAAGTAATTAGGGATAGATCAGACTTAGTACGAGATTTATCTATCTCGGGCCCTAACCTTTACCTCAATGAGACCAAGTTAATTTGACCAAGAATTTTAGATAACTAGGGTAAAATCACAGACCTCCCATGGTACTGGAGATATCGGTGTTCTAGATAACAAAATACAACTGTATAAGCCATAAAAGTGGAACGTGAAGCGGTCACCCATCCATTGGTGAAACAGGCTCTGTTGTTTAACTTGCCTGAAATAGAGGGAGACTCTACCGCATTACCAGACTGCCCACTACACAAAGAAGTTACATTAAATTAACAATAAATGTAATTATTGATGAAAAAATATAAAAATAATGGAAGAATTTCATTTTAACACTATACCTGTTTATAGGGCTATTTAGTGGCATAAATTAAAGAACTATATGCGGTATATTGCATATATTTGCCCCCACTAAAGTCAAATTTTGAAAACTTGAAATGTGCTGAATTAAAAAAATTCTATGAGAAATATAAATTAACAGAAAATATTACAGTGTCAAAGCAGTGTCTTCACAATTTTTGTTTTTATGACGTCACAAACTAGTCTGATTTTATATCCTTTTTCAGAAAGGGGACAAAATGGACAAAATTTCAACAATTTTAGCCTTAATATTCAGAGAGCGCTAGTTTGTTCAGGAACAACATTCAATTTGATATATTTCATTGATATTATCATTCTACACATTATATCAAAATATTGATCCTGAACACACATGCGCTCGGTGACTTTTACTCAAAATATCAACAAAATATGTACATTTTTCTGAAAAATTCATAAAAAACTAAATTTACATCATGTTTGTGAAGTCATTACATACATATGGCATCATTACTTATGAAAATATTCAGTGTTTTGAAGTCAGCATATACTCCCTTGTTTATGAACTTAATTAAATATATCTCCATCAGAGTTTGCTTTCGAGGGCAAATATTGGTTATTACCGAATAAAGTTCTTTATATTGTGATATTTTTGTTTTCATACAGAATTGAGAGACTGGCTCGTGACATTGTGGAGGATTTTGATGAGGATGGGTTGGTGGCTCTATGTGTGTTGAAGGGTGGATACAAATTCTTCACCGACCTCCTGGATAAAATCAAAGGACTAAACAGGAATCTGGGGAGATCTGTCCCTCTGGCTGTGGATTTCATTCGACTTAAAAGTTACGTGGTAAGTTGACCTATGTAAGGGCTTGGAAGTTCCAATTTTTAAATGCACTGTAAGTCACTTTTTTTGCGAAATCTTTATTTTTGCGTAATTATGAGAGCTCGTGAAAATTTCATTCTTACCTACTATAGAATTCCTTAACTTGACTATCTCGTGAAAATAAGTTGTCTTGAAATTCAGTGATTTATGGTATTTTGCACAAGGTAGATGGTGTTTAAGATTGTGTATGGCCACACACCCTCTGTGATTGTTTTCCTCGTGCAGTAATGGTCCTTATTCGATTTTGTGTGTTCCACAATCTTGAATAATAAACTTTTTACTTCCCTTTCAGTAAATTCAAATTGGTAAAATGATGTCTACCCTGGAATGTTGTTTTTAAATCCAGGAAAATCCAGAGATTTCCAGAATAGACAAGTTTTACTGTATCACACTGTGATTTGTACATCCAATTTAAAGTCTTGATTTTTGGGAACATTTTTTCAAAAAAAAATGTAAACTTGAACCCTATTGATATTTGATCATTAATAAATATGAATCAAGGTATTTGTCAAGATCATTTTGAGCAAACCTGTTACAACCACTACAATGATTGCCCATTCAAGTTCAAGTCTGTTTACCCCTTTAATGAGTTTCAAAGGCTCTGGCAATGCAATTTTTTCATATAAAAATAGTGCATTTTTTTTTTTAATTAATTTAACATTATTTTGAACAGAACAGAGAGAAAGCTTGGAGGAAAGTGAGGATTTTGTAACCCAAACACTATGGATACTGCACTGATTTGTTAGAAGGGGGGAGGGCAAGGGGGCCAATAGGGGTGGGACTATTGGAAACTTTTCTACTTGGTGATCTAAGCTTATGATGGATTTCAGTGGATGTCACCATACTGAGAAAAGTTGGTTTGTTGCTGCTTTGTAAATGGGGAGAGGGTGGGGTGTGTGGTGGTGGGGGGGGGGGGGGGTATAAGAGAATAAACAGTTTTAGCCGGGTTCATTTCTCGTAGAGAAATGCCCGGCTATTGCGACGGTGAGCAACAGAAAATGCTGCTTCTTCACCGTCAAATTAAATTTACGAGTTAGAATATAGTACGTCTGCGCAATCACCTTTGAGGCAATACAAACACTGAATTATTTTCATAGTTATCTGAAATTGTTAAAAAATAATTATAATAAAATACTTTATATCTTTTTCGATGATTAATCATTTGGTTAAAATATGCGAAAAATTTTCATCAGGTATCCATGTCTGCGTCATATTCTATAAATAAAGGGTGTACTATCAGGCTTATACAAATGCGGGGAACTTCATTAATGACTTGATGTACGCTTTGATGCAAAACTCCCCGCTGAGGACCCATTTGTGCTTAATTGTTTGGGCTTAAATAATCTTGCTGCATCAGTGTTTATTTACTTCTGTTGGTATGTAAAATCGTAAAACCCCGAAATGATACATGTGACAAATATTTTACGCTTTTGAATTTTAGCTACATTTTAATTAATTTTAAAGCTTTTTAATGCTATATATGACATATTTATACAAATATAATTATATAATCATCTTTTCAATGTCTGAATCAGCTTGTTTTTAAACTGTCATTGCGGTCTTTGTTCATTAATACCATGTAAATGAGCGCGGCTTTCAGTACTTCTGAGTACTTTGATTACTGTTTCCATCTGTGAAACAGTAAAATTATGATAAACTTGGAATTTATTGAAATGTCTTCAGAGTTGCTAATGTGTCAATCATTCATCAAACTGTTAAGTTTTCCCTAATTATTGTCTTAAATCCTGACACCTGCACTCTAAAAATACCCTTTACCTTTCTCACAAAACCTCGGCCAATGCTGGTCCTATTCAGGGATAGATCTTGAATAAAATTTATGTCACATTTAGTAAATTGATTTCATCTTTTCTCCTTAGACAACTAGCCCAAAGTTATTAAGGATGTAAAAATCTCGGATATCTCTCCTTGTGAATAAGTTAATCATTCAGAATTCTAGGGGTAGTACAAGACAACTTCTGATTGCAAAAAGTGCATAAATCGCTGTTATAGTAGTAGTAGTAGATTTATTCAGGTAATAAAATCAATGTATGAAACAGGGTGGTACAAATATAAATAATGCATAAAATGGAAAAACCTAATCACAATAATAAAATTTGAATAAAATTCTAAATACAGGTGTCCTATTCCGAATGTTTAAAATATAAAGCAATTTTTGACATTTATAAATTTTATAAATAAAAATTTGTGCATTATAATCATCGTGGTATCATGACATTAATTAAATAAATATGTGTTCAGATGATGAGATATCAAAATGAAGCTAGCCAGGAAAATTTGAGGCCAGAAAAGGACTTATATACATTAATTATGTCTGTTTACAATTATGTTCTAGGCCTAATAGAAAATGGGATCAGTGGAAGGGTACTTTGTTTTAGAAGTTTTTGTAGACATTATTTAAGACACATTTTTTGGCAGCATAAGCTCTCCTTTTCTAGCCATAAAATCTTATTTGTTTTAAGCATGCATTTATAACAGACAGTTGTTAAACATTATTTTGCAAACTATAAAATGTTATGTTTGAAAATATATACAGAAAAGCAATTTCTAGATTTTAAAATGACAAAAAAAATATTTGGGTTGATGCATAAAATTGTGTTTCCTTGGGCAACCATAAAAAAATATTGTTTAGGCCTTTGTTACATGTTTTAGATGAAGAGTATTAATGACCTACTTTTCTATTTTTAGGATGACCAGTCTTCCGGACAGATTGAGGTCATTGGGGGAGATAATCTGAAAAACCTTAAGGGAAAGGTGAGTTATCCGACCAACAAATTAAGATCCTGTAAACCAACTTTTATTCGTGACGACTTTATTTCGCGATTTACCAGGGGTAAACTAATTCGCAATGATTAATTTTCGCGATCATGCCTATTTAGGTTCTCTTGTTAATAAACACATAGACCAGAATGACTGGTTCGCGGCGGGCAATATTCACGATGAGGAGGGTCTCGCAAACTTCTCGAAAATTTCTCACACGTGAATAAAAGTTGGTTTACAATATTTGACAACCTAACTAGTTATTATTGATCTAGAATTAAAATATGAAGATAATAAACAGTTTATGGAAAGGTGAGTAGTTTGACAAACATTTAAATTATTTGACACAATTTTGAAACATGGCAAGTGTCATTGCCCATGCACTGACCCTGAAATGACATCATCTAGATCTTTAATCATGCTTGATATGTAGTTTTGTGATTAATTTCCATTGATAGAAATTATACATGAACAATAAATGGACTATTAAGTTGTGACAGGATTTGGTTTTACCCTAAAACCAAGGTACCACTCACGGCACCAATGTAACCAGAATTCGCTACTTGGTATCAATGCAATTTAGGAAATTCCACGATACCAGTGTAGCGAAAATGACCTGATGAAAATACCTCTTTAATATCAGTCACTTTCTTTATTCAAAATAGTACTTCGCGTTTTATTCCAATTTCTTACTAACCAATAAACCTCTTGATTTTTAAATAGTCACGAAAGTGACTCTTACTAACCCAAGAATTTTAATAACAAGAGTTTGCAAATTAACAAATATTTATTATAGCAACAATTGTATTTTATTAACAGCACAAAATATTTACATTAACACTTTACAACTTGCTGTACTGTTATGCAACATACACTGAATGTTCACGTCATGAAAACAGAAATTTACCATTTCCCTGCAAGCACCTTTTAGCGTGGTACAAGTTTCTCTAATGTTTAGCGTAAATAATATTATCCTCTATATTTCAACACAAATATAACTTCTCTTATTTGATGAGATTTTTGCAAGCATAAAGTAGAAGGAAATAGTCATTAAAGTAACTATAAAGGATTAAATTAACTTTTTAAAGTGCGTGAAAATGCGTGATTGCGGGGAAACGGTATATGCGTGATTTTGCGTTAGAAATAGGAAATGGTATATGCGTTAAAATGCGTGACTGCGGGGAAGGGGGTTAATATATTTACAACGAAAAATGATGTACTAACGACCTTATAAGCCTCAATAAAAATAAGTGCCTACCTAACAAATGTACGATGTCCAGAGCCCGTCCTACCCAAAGCTAAGTTCGAATGAAAGTGACCCACCCCTGCACGAAAAATCTACTATGCCTAACCTAACCGGTTTACCAAAAATAGAAATAAGGAACTGGAAATGGACGTAAAAATAAGATAACAAAAAGGATAAAGGTGAACGAGATGAACGAAATGATCATTTTGAACGAAACAGAGACAGGGACCCACCCATCTTATCAAAAAGTGAGCTGGTAAGAACCTTTGAGAAGGTTCCAGACCAACTGATCTAAACGTGAAATGCTGGACTTTAAATACACCGCGGACTGAAGGTGTGTCTCTCTTATCCAATCAAAATCTACATTCTATGAATAACCCAGACAAGGACGTTACCCAAATCAATGAATAAAGCTAGAAAGTTTCCAAAAGTAAAACAAACAATCGTAACCAATAGGAATTATCGCTATTTACTTACTATGTACAATCCAATTCTACCACAAAGTACTTTTAAACAGTTGAAGTAAGTTTTCCCTTGTTTTCAGAATGTGTTGGTTGTGGAAGATATCATAGATACAGGGAAAACCATGCAAAAGTTACTGGCCCTGCTACAGAATGTTAAACCTAAGTGTATAAAAGTAGCCAGGTATGTAATGCTACAGAATGTTAAACCTAAGTGTATAAAAGTAGCCAGGTATGTAATACTACAGAATGTTAAACCTAAGTGTATAAAAGTAGCCAGGTATGTACTGTTATAGAATGTACTGGAGGCCCATGACCACATCACTTTCCTCAGCACTGTGGCTTGGAAAGAAGTAGAAATAATATCAGTATTGAAAAGTTTAAATGCAAAAGTGGTCCCTACCCTTAACTAACTAAGGATTCTTGTATATTTCTTGAACTAACTGTGGCTTTTCCCCTTTAAGTTTGATCTTACAATGTGCCCCCCCCCCCCCCCCTGTCCCAATGTTGGTCATAATTGCAACTTATTTGAATCTACCATTACTAATGCTGCTTGTATATTTCTTGGACTGTAACTGTGGCTTTTGCCTTTAAGTTTGATCTTACAATGTGTCCCTTCCCAATGTTGGTCATAATTGCAAAAAACTTGAATCAACATTACCTGAGGATGCTTTTTTTTTTTAATAAACATGACTAGCATGTTCTTGAGAAAAAATAATATTTAAAAAGATTATTCCTATAAATTCCTGTGTGAAATTTTGATTTTCCCATTGTGGCCCTACCATACCCCCGGGGGTTATGATTTTGAACAAACTTGAATCTACACTACCCGAAGATACTTCCATTTAAAAATGACCATTCAGTGATTTTCCTGTTCTTGTAAAAGATTTCCTATGTAAAACATTGCTCATCCATTGTATTGTTTAATATTTTTATTTTCAGTATGCTGGTGAATGATAATAATTGTTTATTTGATTGTAATTAGTTGACATTTATTTTTCAGTATGCTGGTGAATGATAATGATTGATTTCTTTTGTGATTATTGAATACTTTAATTTTCAGGTTAATGATAACGATTGTTAATGTATTACAATATTTAAATTCTTTACTTTTCAGTATGCTGGTGAAGAGAACAACAAGGAGTTCTGGATATAAACCTGATTGTAAGTACAGGTCATCTGATGTCATGTGATCTTGTCACACATCTTATGACATGTGATCTGGTAACATTTAATTATCAAACATCAGTATATCATTTCTTGTTCACATTAGTTACAAATTATTCACACAGTAACATATATGAAAATATGACCTCAATATTATTATTTAAAGAGTGCATTAATTGCAATTGCCTTTATAAATGACCTAATATTCTCTCAATTTGAGTACAACATCAGGGGGAACAATATGTTTATGACACAAGTCATGACTTTGGCAAATATGGTTTGTGGTTCGATATAAATTTTTATCAAATGTGTTTTTATCCTTAAGCCTTTGCAACTGAAATCTTGCATGAATTCAGTGGGAATGACATTTTTATTGTGGGCTATGTTTTAATTTCAGATACTGGGTTTGAAATCCCTGATATTTTCATTGTGGGCTATGCCTTAGACTACAACGAATACTTCAGGGATCTTAATGTAAGTATTTATATCCAGCTATGACAGTAAAAAGTTGAAAACTTTCTTTTAAGGAAAATATTAAAATGATTTCTTTTAAAGATAACGTTATTGTAATTCTGTTTTAGCATATTTTTTTATATTAAAAATTGAAAATATGCATTTGTTGCAGTTCTCTTTCTTTGAATTAAAAGACATGTTTAGGAATCTATTCATTTAATAAACAGATACAATAACATTGTAGTTTTTTTTAATGTATTGTTTATAATTGATATAATTTCTCCTTATAACAGCATGTTTGTGAAATTAATGAAGCAGGCAAGAAGAAATATGCATCCAAATAACGAAAGCCCTGTTCTGTTAATGACTGAATCAAATGATATTAGAACTGGGGATCAGTAAGCCACATTGGAAAATGTCAGCTGAAATAATGATGATTAAACACATATTACATGGTGTAGTAACAGTAACATTTCCTGAGATTATAATACAATGTACATCATAAGGCAGGCAAATCAGAATGAATTAGATTTTCTGTGGTCATACCGTTTACTGATCTTGTTTTTTTCTCTCCAGAAACTGGTATATTATTTTTATGTGATTATCTCACTGTCTGAATTAAAATATTTACAAAGGATGTGCTTCCAAGTTAATCTAAAAATATTAATTTTATTTTAGAATTATTACATGTTTTTTCTTATTTTAAAAACAAGAGAGATTTAAACATAATGCTGAATTTTGTATCTTTTTCTATCTTTATATGACTACTTTACCATACTGTAGATTGGCAAATATTTGCATAGGAATTGCAACTGGTTATTTAAAAAAAAAACATGAAATTTTAACACAGTGAAATTAATATGACTTCCAGTATTTGAAGCAGAAAAAAATATAGCAAGCATTTAAGCATGTTAAGATAAGGTAATATATCTTACAAATTAAAGAAATTGGAAACAAAACTCGGATGAGCTAAATAGGTTAGGGTAAAACATATTATAGGTTGTTCATATTCTCTGTTATTCTGTATAGATTTGACTGTGTTGTACATGTTTGGACCAAAGATATCCAGAACCGTGACTGTTGATTTTTACACAATCTGAATAAAATGATCAGGGAAATCTGAAATAATGTTATTGTGACAGAATGTTTAAAAGATTTAGAAGATTTTATTTACCTTATTTTCTATGAAAATAAATATTTTTCTTAACACATCTTTAGAACTTGAAACTTCTTTTTAAACAGAGAATGAAATGTTTGGATTTGTATAGACTTATTATCTGTATAGTTTAATTGGGTGTACTTCAAAGGTGTGATTGGGAATGAATTCAGGAGGAAAAGGTTTGAATTATTTTGCTTTATAGGTAAAATGCTGACTGACGTTTTTCATACTTATTGTTAGTCCATCATGTATTCACTGCATTGACTTCAGATTTTTCCGTTATTTCCCAATCATGACAGGAGCATGGCGGGTGTGACCATTCGGCAGGGGATGCTTACTCCTCCATGTCACCTGATCTTGTGATGTTTTGGAGGTCCGTATTTGCTCTGCTCTTACTTTGATATTGAATACTGTTCGTTATCTCACTTTATTTCATCATTTCAAATTATACAATAGTAGGTCACATGGACGTAGGCCATCATAATTTTGAATTTTTAAATTATTCATTTTTCAGTGTGTTAAAAATGCACATCTTGAACACTGTGAAGTGTAAGGTCGTGAGATTTGTCATTTCATGTAGACAACGGTGTTGTAAAATTTTTGAAATTTTACAAAGGGAAATAAATCTCAGCCAAAAGAATCTAATTACAATGTAACCTGACGTAAATGTAACTCCCTTTTATATGAAATGTAAAAGTCTTTCTTTTGTAGTTTTCACATAATAGAGAGGTTTAGTTACAAGTGAAGTAACAACGTGTACGCGAAACTTTGACGAATACGTCGAAATTTTACGTATACATATACGTATGCAAATTTTGTGATTGGAGAGTACAGTAAATTGTATTTATTATTTTTAATTTAGACAAATCAATTGTGAATTAGAATATTTATACTTATTCTGGTCATAGATATCATAAACAAAGACAAATTAATATATGTTAATTGTCATCTCACTGCAGTGATGCGCTGTAAATATTTCCTAGTAGATCTACAGGACAAGCTTTTAATTCTATATCACTTTAAATCTGGAAAAAAATCATAGAAATATTTAATTGACGATTAAAAAACGACAAAGTCGGCTTCCTAAGACTTGAGGGTTTGGCATAAAAGACGATCATGGTGACCTTCTTATTGAAGGTTATTGCTGTTCATGTTTAAAACATTTTAAATGTATTTGATACCAAGAGACTTGGGATCATCAAATTTACTCAAATCTTTCATTTATTTCTTAATTTTATAATTATTATAATAAAGTTTTTAACCTCTTTTATTTCAACACTGTGATCTGAGAGATCATGCAAGCCTAATTAAGTGATGCTCTATGGATTTTGGGAGGTATCAATGCAAAAGAAGTCAAAGGATATGATAATAAACAATTATCAAAACAAGTAAGTAGATGTATTTTGGGGCCTTGGAAATAAATTTTCCCGAAAGGAGGTCACAGTCTCCTTCTTTTAAAGTTTTGTATCATTTCATTTCCTCATAAAAATGTAAATACACTTGCTAATTGGGCCATATTGAAAAAAAATATTAATTTTATTTATTTTAAAATATATTAAGTGCATTTTTATACGAATTTAAAAGAAAATGAAGTACGAAAAAATAATATGAGTACATTACTGTATTTTTTTTTAAATCGTCAAGATGTTAAAAAATATCTGTAGTAATTTAAAGTTTGAATTATGACGTGAGAAAATATACAGGTGCACAATACAAAAGAAATTGCTGTAATAATATATCTATTTAAATGTAGCAGGGCCACACCATATCATTATATCAGGTACGGATTTTAAAATACCTGCCTTGTTTCATCATATGTGTCACCCAGAACAATGGGTAAGTTTACGTATTATGAAATCCGAGTGTTGTGTGCAAATTCACGCCTTTCTTGCTGACTTCTGTGCAGTGATGTAAAAGTTGGGTAGGGTTAGACACACTTGATTGCATAAGAATTTATTTCAAAATTGACGATAAAGGTTTCACCGTTAAATAATTAGACTTCATGTTGATTGGATGGATGGCCGTATGAACATTGGGGTACGGAGGGGGGGGGGTGCCCCCACATAATTTGCCGATACATAACATTATTATAGAAAGTATAGTTATTATACGCTGGTGCCCTTTCAATAGAAACGTCTTGATGGCCTTTTATTTGCTTGTCAAGAAAGTTTTGGTACTCGATAATGCCCCCTCAAGTGAAAATGTATTTCCTCTCAAAACCGAAATTGCTTCACACCGGTCTGATAGAGAGTGCATTTACAAAAACAGCTGTTAATATTGTTACTCGTTTGAAATGAAATATTTTGAGATAGCGAACAGAGGGATCTTAAAAGTATCACACAGGTTCTTGAATCTATAGTAATGTAAACATTTTAAGTACGTTGATTGGTTAAAAACCAAAACACTGCAATTGACATTTTCTGAATGAAAAATATGAAGGTGTGTTACTGTATGTTGTCAATTCAAAAATTTGTTGTTTACAAGTATGTATAGGTATTGCGCTGTGTTTCTGTATATTCAACATTTACTTGACACGAAAAAAATCTGTATCTTGTAGAATAGGAATAACGTTTCATAAAGTACAAAACAGAATGAGATAGAATAACAATGTAAATACCAACTTTTATGATGCCAGTATTAAGAAGCGGATTTTCATTATCATCCGATGGCGATAATTTCTTTTTAACATTAAAAGGGAGCTGTTTATAACCAGATGTAATTCAACACCACACAGAAATTTGACCCGGTAGTGAAAATCATTTTGTAGCATTTTCAGTGACTTCGCAAGAAGGGAATAATAGTTTCAGTTCTCAAGATTAAATCTGAAAAGTGTGACACAAATATTCAGTGGACCCTGTACAATGTATAAAAAGAATTAGGACGTCTGTACTGATTGCACAAAGCTTCTACTGAAAATGATATTCTGAATCAAGAAACATCCGGATAATAGCTCTGAAACAGAACTTGATTTGGCATATTTGTGGATTTTGTAGAATACGAAGTGCTAAAAAATTATTATAACGTCATGTATTTATCAAGTTAATGTATGACAAATGGAATTTCTGATATCTTATCAATTGGTTGCGGGGACATAATAAAATACCAACGACGAACAATTTACTTTAGAATAGCTTTGTTGTTACTAAATAATTACATGTATGGATAAAATTATATGCTAAAATGTTAAGCTATTATTAGAAAAATGTTATGTACTAGCCAAAAAAAAAAAATTGCTGCACAAAATCTATTAGCTAAATACAATTCAACAATGTAGAGGTTTTGAAAAAGAAATTTAAAAGAAGTAAAGTACAGATCAAGATCGAATATACATTGTTGTGTTTTTCTATTCAATTTTCGTTATCAATGTATCCCTACAAACTGTAAATTTATCTCTCCATCCTTTTATATACATGCACAATTAGACACATTAGAACTAATACAAAAAAAAAACAATCTTAGAAAACATTTCAGTTTGAACGTTAGAGTTTGATAGGTTTCCAGTGCCCGATAATTTCTGGATTCTTTTTAATCCACTGACACTCCGTCGAGTCCTAAAACTGTCATTTTTAGCTTCAATATTTTTAAAACAGTTTTTCTTATATGACAGTTATGTACTACGAACGTGAATTGATTTGAGTATAATACTGCTATAACCATCATTATGTTGTTTATTTGCATCACCGTAGATGACTGCGTGACTTTTGGATACAAGTGTAAGCGACAGATCGACATACTGAATTCATTCTGTATACACGAAACACAGTACAAGTTATATAAATGTAAACACAAAGGTGAAATTGCAATTTTAATTTCTACCTACAGCCTCTAATTTACACATTTAACACACACCAGAGACATATTCATAGGTATACTTTTTAGTGTTCTTTAGGTACGTGGCTATTTGCACTTAAAAAGTTCTTAAGTGATTAAAAGATGACAAAATTATGAATATACACCGGAGCCAATGTGAAACACGACCTACTGGTTCGGTGACCCGTGTCCCTGTCGTCAACGTAACCTAATTATATGTAGGAGGGGTGATCACAAAGTTCGCGAACCTATTGAATAACTTCCACTATAGAAACAATATTTGAAATCAGTGTTGATTATATTTAAAATGAGTCTTTTCCGATTTTAATACAGATCTGCCACCGTTCTGCTCATGCGCGAATCACATGTTAGAAGCGGTTACGTGACCCCCTCTGTACAAGGGCCACACCATATCATTATATCAGGTACGGATTTTAAAATACCTGCATTGTTTTATCATCTGTTAGTTTACATTTTTTTTAAATCCGAGTTTTGTGTGCAAATCACGTTTTACTTGCTGACTTCTATGCAGTGATGAAAAGTTGGGTAGGGGAAGACACACCAGCTGGTTGCTTAAGAGTTAATCAAAATTAAAGATAAAGGTGTCTTCATTATATTCAATTATACTTGTATGTTACGATAATTAGACTTCATGTTGATTGGATGGTTGGACACGGCTGTAGAAATCGTGGGGCACGGAGGGAGAAGGGCGTGCCCTTCCAAGAAACATTGCCGATATACTACACTAGTAAAGGACAAGTGCACTTAAGCAATGCTTAATGGGCCCTTTTTATGTGCCATTTTACTTTAGAATATATAACCAAATCGTTCACTTTTGGAAATAGTTATATACTAGTGTATATTTCTAATTAAAAACCACGATAATAATCACCCAAATCAGCATGGATTTGAAACAATTGACTATTTTTAAATGCCTATACGGACACCCTAAAATCCGGAAAAGTCGAACCGAACCTTCTTTTACTTTCGTTTATGTAAATCTTGAACAATCTGATGGTGGATCATAGTGGGGCGCGTTTGTGGAATGTAACTTTTTTGTACTATATGTTTTTAAAAATTGAAAGAAGTTGTGTAGTTGCCTGAAGCCATAATAATCAAAATAAGAAATCGGTACTCTTGCATTTGAAAAAAATATATACAATAAAAAGAATTTGAAATCTAAAAGGAGTGTTTAGGTGGCTTTCAATACCTGTTTCATTGTCTTGCACAAATGTTAAAAATG